ACATGCCCTTGACCGGAATCGAACCTGGGACCTTTCAGTCCACAGACCGACGCTCTACCACTGAACCAAACTGGTTTCGGCTAAATGTTAAAATTCTGAGATTAATTTAAAGGTACAAAATCTGTAAAGATTGTAATTCAAGACAAAAGCTGGGTAAATTCCAAACTACTTGTAAGGAAAAGCAAGGGGGGAAAATGAATTCTAGAGTTAAAAAAAAAAAAATTAAAATCATTAAAATGTCAAAGAGAAGTTTAAAACAAAGTTAAATAGTTAATTGCAATCCTACCCAAATCACCTAACGAAACAGATAGTTACCTTATCTTTTCATGCCGGGAGAGTGGGTCAGGGGGAAAAATGAGAGGGGGGAAAAAACAAAAACAAAAAAGCTTGAGTTCCACCATGTGGAGACAAAGGGCACAATGGGGAGATGGTAGAAAAGCAAAGGGGCTTTTCAGAGAAGACAGGGTCTGGTTGTAGGACATGTTTCTCTGGCCTGCATGGAGGTCCTTGCCATTGCTGGCAAGAAGCAGAGGCAAGTGCCTTTCCTGGTAGGAAGTGGAGAGGGGTGAATTGGGGTCTGCTAAGACTGTCTTAAAAAGGGGAGCCTTTGTTTAAGGCTTGCTGCTGATTCAAGGGATCCTAAGATCCAAATCCTAAAGGCTTAAAGAAAATAAAGTAGGGTAGTAGAAGGAATCAAAAATGGACCAGACCCCTTGTCAACAAAGTGGTTTGGAGGTGGGGGGGGGATCAATAAAAACATCTCTCCCTACTCTCTTCACTGATGCCTTCCTTAGTCTCAGCCCACCTGCAGAAGTACAGAAAAGCTGTTAAAAGAAGCGCAGAATATCTAGATACATAAAATAAGAAAGGCAAAAAAATCTGAACATTAACTTTCTAGGCAAGTTTTAACTTTCCTGCTTTTAATTTTATTACAGAAGGAAGGTCTCATTTGTTGTTAAAGGTATATTTTCATGAAAGAAAAAGTAGATTTAAAGTATGTTCAAAATGTTAACCTAAGAAATAGAGAAACCAAGATTATGGCATAGGTAAACACTTAAACTGCTGCCTCACTTAACAATTTCAAAGCTACAACTAAACGAAAAAAAAAAAAAACATTATCAAGAACCTCAGAAAGCCTGGCTGAGTGGAAATTCTACAACTAGAGAAAAGCACACTGAGACTCAGAGGAGCTGCAGAAGGCAGAGATACTGAGACGTGCATGCAGAGAGGAATGGAAACTGAGTGCATGGCTGGCTTTCTCAAGCAAGAGGTAGACAAAAACTCTCTGCTGCACTGAACTCCAGTTCTGTGTGAAATTCTGGGAACCCAGACTCATTCGGGGAGAAACTGGACTATCTGGTAGCAGGCAGAACTCCAGGGTGGCTTTCTCTCAGAGGTGCTTGCAATTATTATCATAGGACACTGAGACACAGGGGCTTATTAGGGCAGGGCTAAGGAGAAACAAATGCTGTCTGCTCCAGCTTGAGACTCCACCCCAACCAAGTTGAGCACAGAGGCTTTGCAACTCTTGTTTCATAAGGATTTCTCCAGCATAGAATTTCTCCCATCATAGACACAGCTGATCCTCCCAGTAATAACAATAACAATCAAGGCTTAACTACAACAAGACTGTGCACATAGCCCACAAAGAGGTAAAGAAAGAGTGTGCACCTCAGGTAATTGAGGAGGCCTCGCCACTGGTCCCTATAGGACATCTACGACCCAAAGCCACTCTATCAACTCAGGGAAGCAGCAAAAACTCGGAGACAAAAGGAACAGATCACAAATGAAAGAAATGAGGAAAGCAAATAATTAGATTTAAAGTTCAAAACCATGGTTATAAGGTTTTTCAAGAATTTTCTAGAAAAGACCAATAACTTTAGCGAGTGCCTTGAGGATATGAAAAAGGACCAACTAAAAATTAAGCATACTTTGACTGAAATAAAAAATATTATACAGAGATCTAACACCAGATTACAGGAAAACAAGAATCAAATCAACGATTTAAAGAAAGAAAAAAAAAGAAAAAGAAAAACACACTCAACTAGAAAAGCAAAAAGAAAAAGAATCCAAAAAGTTGAAGATAGTGTAAGAAACCTCTGAAACAACTTCAACATACCAACATCCAAATTATGGCGGTGCCAGAAGAAGAGAGAGAGCAAAATACTGAAAAACTATTTGAAGAAATAGTGCCAGAAAACTTCCCCCACCTGATGAAAGAAATAGACTTAGAAATCCAGAAAAAACACAGAACCCCAAACAAAAGGAATCCAAAGAGGACCATACCAAGACACATAATAATTAAAAAGCCAAGAGCAAAGGACAAAGAGAGAATATTAAAATCAGAAAGAGAAAAACAGTTAATCATATGACTGTCAGATGATTTTTTAACAGAAACTATGCAGGCCAGAAGGGTGTGGCAAGAAATATTCAAAGTGATGAATAGCAAGAACCTACAATTAAGATTACTCTACCCAGCAAAGTTATTCAGAATTGAAGGGCAGATAAAGAGCTTCACAGATAAGAAAAAGCTACAGTTCATCACCACTAAACCAGTATTATATGAAATGGTGAAAGGTATTCTTTAAGAAGAGAAAGAAGAAGAAAAAAGAAAAGATAAAATTATGAACAAATACATATCTATCAACAAGTGAACCTAAAAATCAAGTGAATAAAAAATTTGATGAACAGAATAAACTGGTGAATATAATAGAATCAGGGGCATAGAAAGGGAGTGGATTGACAATTCTTAGGGCAAAGGGGTATGGGACATGCGAGAAGAGATTGGACAGAAAGCGTACACCTGCTGAAACTGGTTTGGCTCAGTGGATAGAGCGTCAGCCTGCAGACTGAAAAGTCCCAGGTTCAATTCTAGTCAGGGGCATGTACCTTGGTTGTGGTCACATCCCCAGTAGAGGGTGTGCAAGAGGCAGCTGATAGATGTTCTCTCTCATCAATGTTTCTAGCTCTCTATCCCTTTCTCTTCCTCTCTGTGAAGAATCAATAGGTGTATTTAAGAAAGGAAGGAAGGAAAGAAGGAAGGGAGGGAGGGAGGGAGGGAGGGAGGGAGGGAGGGAGGGAGGGAGGGAGAGAGAGAGAGAGAGAGAGAAAGAAAGAAAGAAAGAAAGAAAGAAAGAAAGAAAGAAAGAAAGAAAGAAAGAAAGAAAGAAAGAAAGAAAGAAAGAAAGAAAGAAAGAAAGACACCTATGGATAAGGACAGTGGCGGGAAGGGGTAAGGTCAGAGAGTGTGATGGGAACTGGGTAGAGGGGAGCAATGGGGGAAAAAGAAGAACAATTATAATAATCTAAACAATGAAGATTTATTTTTTAAAAAATTACTGCCCTAACTGGTTTGGCTCAGTGGATAGGCCTGCTGACTGAAAGGTCCCAGGTTCGATTCTGGTCAAGGGCCAAGGGCATGTTCCTTGGTTGCAGGAGGCAGCTGATTAATGTTTTTCTCTCTCACTGATGTTTGCAAATTTCTATCCCTCTCACTTCCTCTCTGTAAAAAAAAAAAAAAAAAAAAAAAAAAAAAAAAAAAAAAAAAAAAAAATTAAAAAAAAAATCAGTAAAATATATATTTTTAAATAAAATATTTCAAATGTCCTCTTTGTTTCCTGTACACCCCCCATTGACCCCTTTCATCATGCACATGGCCCACCAACACATCACAATTTTGTTGTTTATCTATGGACTATGCATATAAGTCCCCTAGTTAATCACTGTTTCCTAACTTCCCATCCTAACTTCTCTCTGAAATCAGTTTGTTCTGTGCTTCTATGTCTCTGGATCTGTTGTGGTCAACAGCTTATTTTGTTCATTAGATTCCATATATGAGGTAATTGATATTTATCTCTCTCTAACTTATTTCACTTAGTATAATAATCTTCAGGTCTATCCATGCCCTTGCAAATGGTAAGAGTTCTTTCCTTTTTACAGCTTAGGTTTTTTACATATAGATAGTCCCATGTGCTTATTTTCTTTGCTTTAGGAGATGTATCAGTAAACATATTGCTAGGAGAGATTAAAAAACAAACAAAAAACATTTTGATAGGAGAGATGTCAGATATTTTGTTGCCTATGGTTTCTTTAAAGATTTTTATGGTTTCTGAAAGGGTTAAAAATAATAAAATGTGTCAGAGAAAGACTTACTGTGCTTAGCAGATATCTTGAAGAAAGCTTGCAGTCTTGAGTACAGCATAACTCAGATAACTAGCGGACACCTGGTATTGAATGAACCAAGGATGGACTAGATAGAACCTTACATCAGAAGAGTGGCTTGAAGCCAGCAAGGATTAATAAAAATTGATCTGTTTGCTCTCTTGGCTGATGCCTTTCTTTGTCTCAGCCCACCTGCACCCAGGTGTTGGAAGTAAAATCTTTTTTATATATTATGGCCTTATGTCATAGGTGCGTGACCCTGGCCTGCTGAAACTTTCAGTTTCATGACTTATATTTAATTATTTTATACGTTTGGTTTATTCTTATGTATGGTATAAGTTGATCTAGTTTAAACTTTTAACATGTATCTGTCCTGTTTCTCCAAACACAATTTATTGAAGAAACTTACACAATATTATAAAAACATATTTAAATTTGAAAATAAAAAAGGGAAATTAAGAAAAAGTAGCAACAAACGTCTTATACATTGGGTGTTTTGCCCTTCATCAGTATTGCAAGTTTAGCTGAGCGATTTCAGGTAAAAAGTCAGAGCTGATGAATCAGCAACTTCTAGGAACTGCTAGATAGGACTATTACAAAGCAGATGTCTCGTTTCAGTCGCTAGAGATAATATTTCATCCTCCCTGAAACATGGACGCCAAGGCTCCATGTACTTCATCGTTGACTCGGCTTTTTATTTTCCCTCATTCTCTCGGGGGCTTTCCAATGATTCATTTACTTGAGCCCTTCATCCCATTATCACTTGATCTTCTCTTGCTTTAACAGGTGTCAATCACTCTGGTACGCAGGCGCTTAAGAAGAAGGGAAAATATGAGGAAGAGGAAGGAAGCGAGAAGAGGGGCGGGCCCAAGAGTAGGCGCGGAAAAATGACGCCAGCGGCTGCGGCGCCTTTTGCTTAGGTAGGAGCGTGGTCGTCTCCGCATCGCGTGAAACTCAGTTGCGTCAGTGTCACTCGACTTCTGAGATTGTTTCATCTCGTGGGCCTTTTGGAACCGCCAGAAAGCCGGCACCATCATGCCCAAGAATAAAGGTAATTCTCGGTATCAGTTCAGTGTCAGCTCTGATTCGGGACCAAACAGTATTTACCAGTCTTCCTTTCCTTCTGCGGTTGGGCGATCTGGGAGCAGAGCTGGGACGTTTAGTCACATTGGGTTGGAGCCGACGCCATTTTTGTAGGGATTCCTGTATCGCTACAGGATCTGTAGTGAGACCTGACCTTTCAGGAATTACTAAAATTTCCCAAGTTTTTAGCTTTCAAGGATTAATTCCTGCTTCACTGGTTTCTTTATGGGCAGTTAACTGTTGTTGAAGATACTCCCTCTTAACAATATGCGAATTCTTGTCACATACTTAGCTTAATTTTTGGAAATTCACTTTACTCCAGCCATTCACAGAGTTTAACTCTTTTCTAAAAGATGTGTTACATATTGGGCAGAGTTTTCATCCTTCGTTTCTAGTAAAAAAGTGGCGTAAAATTTTCTGCCTGCTTTTTTATATTACTAAGACTTTAAACCATTCACAAAGCATCATAATGGAGAACATATTTATAATACTTAGAATTTCCAAAATTAGATTCCGGGGGCGTTGGTGGTATAGTGGTTAGCATAGCTGCCTTCCAAAAACACTTGCACACTAATTTATAAAATAAATTCTGCAACTTTTTACAGACCAGAGATGTTCTGATATTTTAAGTGTCCTAATAATATCTCCAGAAAAACGCAACTAAGTACAAACTGCGAATGTGTTTTTTACAAGAAACGGCCTTTTTTTCACAGCCCACAAGAAGTCTTTAATAATTCATTCTTAGGCTCTGACCTACCTATGTACTCCTTTCCTGCTTCAGAAGTGGCTCCAGTAATTCTTCACTTCCTACATATCACCAGCGGTTCTTGGTTCCAGTTCTGTGCATTCAGTGCACTGTTGTCTGGTTCCCCCAAACCAATTGTCTAAATGCTTTTTGTACCAATATTTACTGCTAATTTCTGGGACAGACTAAGACTATTTTGTTAAGTATATGATAGAAATGCTTTTAGCTTTCTGCTAGTCTCTAAAATTGAAAATTAATTCACAGAATATATGTAGATTACATTAAAAGGTATCTTACCTAGTGATAAGGCTTTTAAAGTATATAATTCATTAATTTGTATACCCTAAAATGAATAGCCCTATTTTATGGACATTGTATTACTACAAGTTGGTACTTAATAGCTGTCTAATAAATGTTGATGCTATTTCTCTGTACAAATCTACTCTTGGGTAAATAAGTTTATCCCTTGGTTCTTCAGGACTAAATGCCCAAGAAAGATATGATTTGTTTAGGAAAGATTGTGAATTTTGATTTAGTTTACTTTTAGAAAGAGGACAAGATGAAATATTAGAATACACACTTTATATGATCTGTTCCAATCTTACTTTTTCAAGACAGATTTTAAAGTATATTCTATTACATGACTTGACAATAATGGGTTGTGTAGTGAATGGTTAATTCAGGTAAACTGACAAGTGACTTTTTTTTAAATATATTTTTTTATTGATACTTTACAGAGAGGAGGAAGGAAGAGAGATAGAGAGCTAGAAACGGCGATGAGAGAGAAACATCGACCAGCTGCCTCCTGCACATCCCGTACCAGGGATGTGCCTGCAACTAATGTACATGCCCTTGACTGGAATCGAACCTGGGACCTTTCAGTCCGCAGACCGACACTCTACCACTGAGCCAAACCGGTTTCGGCTGACAAGTCATTTTTATATTAAAGGCACAACAAACATAATGGGTATAATAATAAATTGGAACTTTTACTTCTGAATTTAAAAATTACAACAAAAATTCATTTAAAGTCCCCTGTGTCCATCTCTCAAATCTCTCTCGTTTTCTAGAGGTAATCATTCTGAATTTTTATATTTTAAATCAGTATGTCAAAACAGTCTGTAATTTTTAGAAGTCCTAAATTTTTTGAGATGAGGTTTACAGGACATTTTTTATCTTTTTCTATTATTTTTTCTTTATACATTGGGCCATATGTTATTGTTTTGAGCTCATTATCATTCAGCTTGTTTTCTTCAGAAATCTGAGAAACCAGTCTTCAAATCAGAAAAAAAAAAGCATCCTCTAGTCTATTCTTTTCATTTGTTTTAAATATATTTTATTGATTTTATTATTTTTTTTACAGGGAGGAAGGGAGGAGGCTAGAGAGCTAGAAACATCTATCAGAGAAACATAGATCAGCTGCCTCCTGCACGCCCCCTGCTGGGGATGTGCTCACAACCAAGGTACATGCCCTTGACCGGAATCAAACCTGTGACCAGACACTCTATTCAGTGAGTCATACTGGTTAGGGCTTCTGATCTGTTCTTGAGTAGCATTTGGGATAAAATGCTCCTACACTTTAATGGTATTATTACATATAATTTTAAAATTGCCACTCCTGCCGAAACCATTTTGGCTCAATGGTAGGGAGTGTGCGAGAGGCAGCTGGTTAATGTTTCTCTCAACGTTTCTAGCTCGCTCTCTCTCTCCCTTCCTCTTCATAAAATATCAATAAAATTAAAAAATTAAAAAAAAAAAAGATTTAAAAATTGCCACTCCTTTAGAAATGGAAATGGCCAAACTCTGGTGTGTGTGTGTGTGTGTGTGTGTGTGTGTGTATGCGTGTATGCAGAGTGGCTATAATCCTTGCTCTAAGGATCTAGCATAAAACTAAGGGCTTTCCCTTCTAGGATATCAGTTTAGATGTATCCTAAGAATGCATAAGAGTGAATCTAGATGGATTGAGAACTTGGGGAGGCCCACATCCCTTTTTCTATAGTACAGAGCAGTGGGAGACTGCTCCTGAAAGGATCATCCTAGAAGATACATTCAGGAACATATATGTTGTCTTTACAGTGGCCCGTTGCACATTTTTAAGTGTGCTTGGGATGTGAACATTTTGTTTTGTGTTCTTCCAAGAGTTATTATTACCAGTCACAGCTTCTCTTTCACCTATTTATTGTAAATGACCACTTTTTGTGGTTTAGTTCCTGAAATAGAAATAAGATGCTATGGAGAAGACCTCAAGTTTCTTGATTATTCAGTAGAAAGTCTCACAGTGAAATAAAATTATACCATCCAAATACATTCAAGTATAATAAAAGAGAATGCTGAAAAATTTTAACTACTTTATATCTTAGCATGGTGATTAAAGCAGAGGACTAAATAATATTTTTTCTTTGATGATGGGAATAAAAAGTAGTATAGCTTATCAAAAGCTGATAGAAGTGAAAACAACCTTTAACCCAGAAATTCTATGTAAATTTACCCTTTGGAAGTTTTTTGTGGAATAACTTTTAATTTAGCATTATTTAACAACAATGAAACATTGGAATTAACCAAATTAAGGGATTAAATATACTCTAACCATTAAACTGTCTCAGTTTCTGGATATTGACAGCAAAAGACATTTAGCACAAATTATTTGGTGGATTATAAAAGAGTTCTATTTTTACTTAGAAAGCATAGGTTATAAGATGTTAATAGTTTTCTCTGGTAATAGATATTTATGTTTATATAAGACATACTTTTATGTCCCAAAAATTCAAATACAAATGTTGAAAGGATAGAGGGTTAATATATAGTTTAATTCGGTAAAAGACTACAAGGGAATCTTTGGCACATTAAAGTATAATTGATGCTGAAACCAGTTCGGCTCAGTGAATACTGCATCGGCCTGCGGACCAAAAAGTCCCAGGTTCGATTCCAGTCAAGGGCATGTACATTGGTTGCGGGCACATCCCCGGTGGTGGGTGTGCAGGAGGCAGCTGGTTGATGATTCTCTTATGGATGTTTCTAGCTTTCTATCTCTCTCCCTTCCTCTCTGTGAAAAATCAATAAAATATACTTAAAAAATAAATAAATAAAATAAAAAAATACGGTATAACTGATAAGTTAACCAAATAAAGTTAATACTTAAAGATCTTAGAATTCTGTGTCATACTGTGACTTAAATTATATTTTCTATTTTTCTCTTGAGTGATTTTGTAAACTTATGGGCCTTAATGTAAAATATACATTATTACATTTGACTTTTTTTATTCACTTTTTTACTCAACTAGGTAAAGGAGGTAAAAATAGGCGTAGAGGTAAGAATGAGAATGAATCTGAAAAAAGAGAATTGGTCTTTAAAGAGGATGGCCAAGGTAAGTTTTTAAAAAATTATTAATGTTTTTATGTTTAGTATGAGTTTTAGTCTTTTAATATCAAGTGGATCAAATTCATAATCTTGAGTAGTTATTCTAATGTCTCTGCTTTTCCTCATTTGTAATCCTTTTACTTCTTCAAACTGTGCTTATTAAATAATTGATTATATAATATGTAGGTTTAGGTAGAAGGTTAATTGTGGCATTTTTGTAACTGTAGTTTTCTTTGTTTTGTGTAGAAGAGCATGATCGATCTGACAGTAAGTTTTAATTTTAGTGATGAGAGCAAATTAAGTCTGTATGCTATTGTTGAAAATTCCATACTCTAGTATGGTGATAATGAGTAATATTATACATTATTCAATAGACTGGTTATTTGTGAGGACTTTTGGTCTCTAGTTTTCTGATGCTAGTATAATGTAATAAATGATAATACTATTGGATTAAAACTTCATTACAATATACAAAAAAAATGATAATAAATTGAAGCATTTGACGAAACCAGTTTGGCTCAGCGGTAGAGTGTCGGTCTGCGGACTGAAAGGTCCCGGGTTCGACTCCAGTCAAGGGCATGTACATTGGTTGCAGGCACATCTCCAGTAGGGGGTGTGCAAGAGGCAGCTGGTCGATGTTTCTCTCTCATCAACGTTTCTAGCTCTCTATCTCTCTCCCTTAAAAAAATTTTATTTATTAAAAAATCAATAAAATATATTTTTAAACAATAAATAAATAAATTGAAGCATTTGGTTTTCCCATTAAAAAATGTTACACTTACAGAAATGTCATAAATCCATAAATTTCCATCTTTTTTTATTCAGAGTCACTAATTTTTAGCATTTTCTTTCTCATTGTACACATGTACATTTTCCCCTAACTTTTAAGACTTTCTTATAGATATCTTACAGAGAGATTTCAACCTTAATTGCTTTGACATATATTTTCTAAGAACAAGTTCTTTTTATTTTATAACAATAATAGGACTATCACAAAAAAGTTTTACTTTAAAATTATACCATTTTCTAGTACTATTCTGTGTGGTAGCCACTAGTCTTACATAGTTAAGTGAATTGAAATTCAAATTTTGAACTATTGATTTTCATACTGTTCAATTCAGATATCTAATTTCTCCATTAACAGAAAAAAGTCTGGATAGTCCTGACCCAATATATAATCTATATCAAGTTTCTCCAGTTAACTAAATAATTCCCAGCACTTCATATCAAAACCATATGATTATTCAGGCCATACATGCAAAGCACGAAGGAGCCAACATTTTTTTTTTTAATAAGTTTTTATTGTTCATATTATTACAAATGTTCCTTTTTTCCCCCCACCATTGCTCTCCTCCACCAGGTTCCCACCCCACCCTCTGCCCTTTCCCCTCTCCCCATTGTCCTCATCCATAGGTGCACAGTTTATGTTCAGTCTCTTCCCACATCCCCTATCCCCTTTTCCCCAAGAATCATCAGTTCACTTCCCTTCCATACCTCTGATTCTATTATATTCAACAGTTAATATTGTTCATCAGATTTTTTAAATTCCCTTGGTTTTTAGATTCACTTGTTGATAGTTACGTATTTGTTGTTCATAATTTTTATCTTTGTTTACTTTCTCTTCTGAAAGAACCCCCTTCAGCAATTCATATAATTCTGGTTTGGCAGTGATGAACTCCTTTAGCTTTTTTTTATTAGTGAAGCTCTTTATCTGGCCTTCGATTCTGAGTGATAGCTTTGCTGGGTAGATTATTTTTGGTTGTAAGTTCTTGCTATTCATCACCTTGAATATTTCTTGCCATTCCCGTCTGGCCTGCATGGTTTCTGTTGAGAAATCAGCTGACAATCGTATAGGTGCTCCTTTATAGGTTACTACCTTCTTTGCTCTTGCTTCTTTTAATATTCTGTCTTTGTCCTTTGCTCTTGGAATTTTAATAATGATGTGTCTCAGTGTGGTCCTCTTTGGATTCCTTTTGTTTGGAGTTCTGTGTGCTTCCTGGACTTGTAAGTCTAATTCTTTCACCAGGTGGGGGAAGTTTTCTGTCACTATTCTTTCAGTATGTTTTCGATATCTTGCTCTCTCTCATCTTCTGGGACCCCCATAATTCTGATGTTAGTTTGCTTGAAGTTGTCCCAGAGGTTTCTTATATTATCTTCAATTTTCTGGATTCTCTTGCCTTCTAGCTTCTGTGGAGGAATGTCTTCTGGCTCTTTATGTTCCAAATCTTTGACTTGATTCTTGCGATCTTCCCTTCTGTTTTTAGGACTCTGTAAAATATTTTTTATTTCAGACAATGTATTCTTTATTTCTTGTTGATCCCTTATCATTTCTTGTTTACTCCTTATTAATTCTAGTTGATCTCTTTTCATATCCTCATAGGCCTTATCCATCTTTTCTAGGAAATTCTTGAAAAACCTTATAAGCGTAGATTTGAACTCTATATCCAGATGCTTTTTGTCCTCCATTTCTTTCGTTTGTGATCTATTTTGTTGTTGCATTTCGAAGTTACAGATGGGACGGGGTTTCAGGGTGGAGCCTGCAGCTTTGGCTTTTGTCAGCCCCGCCCTATGCGGGTCCTAAAGTGCTCGCTGCCGGAAGCCAACATTTTTGTTGGTTATGTTAAACATGTTTTCTGGGAGAGGCCAGCAGTTATTTAGCTTTCATCTTTTCATTTCTATTAAAAGCTTGTTTTCAGGCTGATTTTTTTTTTTTTTTTTTCAGGCTGATTTTCTAATTTTTTCTTCTTTTCCCCCATGTTGAAGAAGTGCTGAGTAGCAGTAAGTAAGGCCCATTGGATGTGATAAAAGAGACTCACTGCCAATATCAATCCCACACTTTATATGCCATTTATCTGTCAATTTAATAATAGATTTGTCGGGGGGTTTTTTAGGTTAGTGCTTAGTACAAATTTTAGTAAGTGTGGAATTTTAAAATAATTACCTGTTTCTTACTTCCACTCTTCTGCTTTTATCATTTATATCCAGAAAGAGACTGTCTCATACTTCCTTTTTAAAAAAATATATATATATTTTTATTGATTTCAGGAAGGCAGAAAAGAGAGAAATATCAATGATGAGAGTGAATCATTGGTTGGCTGCCTCCTGCATACCCCCACTGGGGATCAAACCCACAACCGGGACATGTGTTCTTGATGGTAATTGAACCTAGGACCTTGCAGTCTGCATGCCAATGCTCTGTATTCTCTGAACCAAACTGGCCAGGACCCATGCTTTCTAATTCTCCTGTATTATTGATTTTTCCTAGAAATAGTGAAATTAGTTGGCCTCTTGAGAACACTGGGAATATTTCAGTAAATATTTGATATTTTATCAGAAATATTTTTTTGATAAATCTTTATTGTTCATATTATGACATTTCCGTTCCCATCCATTGCTCCCCTCCACCAGGATCCCACCCCACCCTCTGCCCTTTCCCCACCCCCCATTGTCCTCATCCATAGGTGCACAGTTTATGTTCAGTCTCTTCCCACATCCCCTCTCCCCTTTTCCCTGAGAATCATCAGTTCACTCCCCTTCCATAGCTCTGATTCTATTATATTCAACAGTTAATATTGTTCATCAGATTTTTTAAATTCCCTTGGATTTTAGATTTACTTGTTGATAGTTACGTATTTGTTGTTCAAAGTTTTTATCTTTATTTTCTTTCTTTTCCGAAAGAACCCCCTTCAGCAATTCATATAATTCTGGTTTGGCAGTGATGAACTCCTTTAGCTTTTTTTTATTAGTGAAGCTCTTTATCTGGCCTTCGATTCTGAGTGATAGCTTTGCTGGGTAGAGTATTTTTGGCTGTAGGTTCTTACTATTCATCACCTTGAATATTTCTTGCCATTCCCGTCTGGCCTGCATGGTTTCTGTTGAGAAATCAGCTGACAGTCATATGGGTGCTCCTTTATAGGTAACTGCCTGCTTTGCTCTTGCTGCTTTTAATATTCTCTCTTTGTCTTTTGCTCTTGGAATTTTAATTATGATGTGTCTTGGTGTGGTCTTCTTTGGATTCCTTTTGTTTGGAGTTCTGTGCGCTTCCTGGACTTGTAAGTCTAATTCTTTCCCCAGTTGGGCGAAGTTTTCTGTCACTATTTCTTTCTGTATGTTTTCGATATCTTGCTCTCTCTCATCTTCTGGGACCCCCATAATTCTGATGTTGGTTCGCTTGAAGTTGTCCCAGAGGTTTCTTACATTATCTTCAACCTTCTGGATTCTCTTGTCTTCTTGCTTCTGCAGAGGAGTATTTTCTGGCTCTTTTGGTTCCAAATCTTTGACTTGATTCTTGCGATCTTCCATTCTGTTTTTAGGACTCCATAATGTTTTTTATTTCAGACAATGTATTCTTTTTTTCTTATTGATCCCTTATTATTTTTTGTTGATTCCTTATTATTTCTTGTTGATCCCTTTTCATCTCCTCATAGATCTTATCGACCTTTTCTAGAAAATACTTGAAAAACCTTATAAGTGTGGTTTTGAACTCTATATCCAGTCTCTTGTTGTCTTCAATTTCTTTTGTTAGTAATCTGTTTCCTTGTCTCGGCATTTTCACTGCTTCCCTGAGTTGGTAGGGTGGCTTTGTGTGCTAAGGTATCCTATATGGTTCAGTGAGTCATCCACTCAGTTACCTGAGGTGGACAGTCTTGGTGTAGCCCTTTGTGGGCTATGTGTTCAGTCTTGTTGTTAAGCCTTGCTTGTTGTTGGTGTCACTGAGAAGCACTGATCTCCAAGCCAATTGGCTATGAGGATCAGAAGTGTCTCAGCTAGGAGGGTTTCTGTTTTCCGCTTGAATGGGGCAGAGTCTCGGGGTGGCACAGACAAGCTTTGTTGAATCCCGCACAATTGGTTGCAGACAAGCTTTAGATTCCTGTTTGCCCCTCCCTAGGAGAGTCCTATGGCAGCAAACGAGGAAGCTAGCCACTGGAAGGGCTTCTGTGCTCCGCTTGGATGGGACGGAATCTCCAATGGTGCAGACAAGCTTTATTCAGCCCCTCCCTACGAGAGTCTGGTTTCTGAGTCCTGCAATAATGGCCGCTGGCTTCACACACCTCCAAGAGATCTCTGCCCACTGCCTGACAGTCTGGCCTCTCCCTGTCTGGGCCATCTATCAGAGCAATAGGGTGATTTTGTTTTCCTCCCGAACAAGAAAGCCAACCGCGCATTAGCTGTCTGCCCTCTCTGCGCGCAGGGAGTAAGCCAGCAGGGAACTCAACCCGCCCTCTCCACAAGCAAGCCTGCAGCGAACTCTGAACTCTGCGGCTGCCTTTTCCCGCGCACAGTTCTCCGCACCTTCACAGTTCCTGAGGTTCAGCGTGCCTTCTCTCTCCTTCCCAGATGGCAGAGCCTCCCTTCAGCCAGCCGTCCAGCGCTTCAGGGTGATGTTTCCCCCGTTTTTCAGTTCTAAATTCAAATTTGTTGTGGTAGGCTGCATTCGGGTGTCTGCCTTATGCCGCCATCTTGGTTTCTCTCCACAAATATTTTTAAAAGAACTTTAATTACTATGGTATTCTAAAGTAAACAAAAGTTTATAAGTAACCTATTTTGCCATTTATTTTTGAGAGAAATGAGAACCATAATTGGGCTAGAGCTAAATGAGAAAGATTAATAAACCAGAATTATATGATACATTTTGGAATGAGTTACTTTGTTGTCTAAAAGGAGAACATATAATCATGAAGATAAGAGTAACTAATTTACTACTTTAAATAAATAAATAACTAAAATATTTCTAATAAAGAGGGCTTGTAATGCAGAGTTCACTTACAACAAATCGTTGATTTCTATAGGCTTTTATTTACTTTAAAAATAAAAAGGGGGCTGAAACCGGTTTGACTCAGTGGTAGAGCGTCCGTCGGTCTGTGGACTAAAAGGTCCCGGGTTCAATTCCGGTCAAGGGCATGTACATTGTTTGCGGGCACATCCCGGTAGGGGGTGTGCAAGAGGCAGCTGGTCGATGTTTCTCTCTTATCAACGTTTCTAGCTCTCTATCTCTCTCCCTTCCTCTCTGTACAAAATCAATAAAAATATATTTTTAAAAATAAATAAAAATAAAAAGGGGGCTGAAACCGGTTTGGTTCAGTGTCAGCCTGCAGACTGAAGGGTCCCGTGTTCGATTCTGGTCAAGGACATGGACCTTTTTTGGGGCATATCCTTAGTGGAGTGTATGCAAGAGGCAGCTGATCGATACTCTCTCATCGATGTTCCTAGCTCTCTGTGTTTCCCTTCGTAAAAAATCAATAAATATATTTTTAAAAATTAAATAAGTAAAAAAAAACGGGGGGGTGGGGAGCCCTAACCAGTTTGGTTCAGTGGATAGAGCATCCACCTGCGGACTCAAGGGTTCCAGGTTTGATTCCGGTCAAGGGCATATACCTTGGTTGTGGGTATGTTTTTAACTCTCTCCCTCTTCTTTCCTCTCTGAAAAAAGTTAATAAAATATATAAAAAATAAAAATAAGTAAAATAAATAAAAAGGTGGAGTAAATAATAGTATATGGAAGAGGCCATAGAAATTTTATTTTTAGTGGCTTGAAAGAACATCCACTTATTACTTTACAATTTCTATAGATAAGAAGGCTGGGCAGGGCTAAATTAGTTTTTCTGCTCACAGTCTCTTAAAGTTGAAATTAGGATGTTATCCAGGTTTCTTTATTGGAGCCTTGGATCTTTTTTTAACCTCACCTTTTTTTTTTTTTTTTTTTTTTTTTAATAATTTGTTCCTTTTATTTATGAGTATATTCTATTTTTTTCCAGATTTTTTTTTTATTATTATTGTCTAAAGTTTTACATATGTCTTCTTTCTCCCAATTGTCTCCCCCACCAAGCCATTCCCATCTCAGGCAAACCCCCACTCCCATAGGGAGCAGGTTTAACTCGAAGTCTGGCCATCCACTTGCGGGAGGCAACCGGGCTGATCAGGGGAAGGTGCCACCCCCATCACCTCCTGCTACTGCCATTGCCAGCCACCACAGACTCTCGTCTCTTCACTGTGAAAAAATGACAACCTTCTTTAGGCATTTTCAAGATGTTTCTTTCATAGAATATGACCTCCCTTCTTTTCTCCTTTCCTCCCTCCCTTTGTTCCTACTCACATTAGGATATATTTCCATTGACTTTTAGAGAATATGGAATAGAGAGGAAGAGACAGAGGGAAACATCAATGTGAGAGGAATACTTCAATTGGTTGTCTCCTGCATGAGCCCTGATCTGGACCCCAGACAGGGAGGAGCCTGTTACTAGGTACATGCCCTTGATCATAATCGAACCCGGATCCTGCAGTTGACAGGCTAAGGGTCTCTCCACTGAGCCAAACCCACCAGGGCAGGATATGACATTTCTTAGCCCCTCCAGCAGTGAACTTTTGTTTTTTTCCTCCAGGAGTGAGGTGGATCACCTTCTTGGATTCTTATAACCCAAGTTACCAAGAACACTGCCAGTGGTGTACAGGGAGCTTAGCCAGTGAGCTGTCAGAAAAGTGTTTCCTCTCTAACCGATTTGGCTCAGTGGATAGACCGAGGGCCTGCAGACTGAAGGTCCCAGGTTTGATTCCTGTTAAGGGCATATACCTTGGTTGGAGGCACATCCCCAGGGGGAGTGTGCAGGAGGCAGCTGGTGGATGTTTTTCTTTCGTTGATGTTTCCCACTGTCTATCTCTCTCCCCTCTTCTCTGCAAAAAAAAAATATATATATATATATATATATATATATATATATTTTTTTTTTTTTTTTTTTTTTTCAAAGGAAAGGTGTTTTCTCTGCAGCTAATGTGGCAGAGGACCCCTGCATTGTGTCCACTGAATTAGGGGCATGTTCCCCCCACATGGCGGGGGGAGGGCACACTTCCTAGGCCAGCAGCCAGCCTCGCATCTTGGGCTCCTGGCTGGGGGTGTGCAGGGACCCCGGAACATATGGCAGCAACAACCAGGGTCTCTGCATGCCCCTGAGGCCAGCAGCCAGTCCCATGTCATGGGCACTGTCTTGGCGCCGGGGGAGGGGAGGTGTTCTGGGACCCCTGCCGCTCAGGGCCTAAGTGTGGGCCTACAGGATAGGAGCAGCCTGGGTCCCAAGGATGTTTTTGGCTGCTCAGCATCTGTGTATGCAAATTAACCACTATCTTTGTTGGATTAATTTGCATACTCTCTTCTGATTTGCAGTGAGGTTAGCAGAGGCACGATCAATTCACCTGTTCTTTTATTATATAGGGTACATGTATACAAGTCCTTTGGTTGCTCTCTAATGCCCCATCTCCCCTGCAATTTGTCTCTGAATCTATTCTTATTCATCAAATTATGTTGATCATTATATCCCACATGAGTGAGATCATGTGATATTTATTTTTCTCTGGCTGGCTTATTTCTCATAGCATAATGCTCTCCAGTTCTATCCATGCTGTTGCAAATGGTAAAAGTTTCTTCTTCTTTACAACGAAATAGTATTCCATTGAGAGATTGCACCACAGTTTTTAATCTACTCATCTACTGAAGGGCACTTAGGCTGTTTCTGAATCTTAGTTGTTGTAAATTGTGCTGCTATGAATATAGGGGTGCATATACCGTATTTTTCGGACCATAAGACGCACCAGTTTTTAGAGAAGGGAAATGAAAGAAAAAAAGATTCTGAAACAAATAGTGTCCTAAAATATTTTATGTGCATTAAAACCCAACATCACAGTCATAAACACATGTAATCAACCCTGTAAAGTAAACAGCAGTATTTAGAACCATTTTAGAGCCGGGCAAGCACACACAGAGCACACAGAGCCGGGCAAGTAAAAAAACTTTTTTTTTAAAGTATATGTGTAGGCTATTGTATATTTGGACCATAAGACGCAGGGACTTTTTCCCCCCACTTCTGGGGGGAAAAAAGTACGTCTTATGGTCCGAAAAATACGGTATCCTTTCTGATCGGTGTTTCTGTTTTTTTTGGGGTATATTCCTAGAAATGGGATCACTGGATCAAATGGGGAGATCCATTTTTAATTTTTGAGGAAACTCCATACGGTTCTCCACAGTGGTTGCACCAGTCTGCATTTCTACCAGCAGTGCACGAGGGTTCCTTTTTCTCCACCTCCTTGCCAGCACTTGTTTGTTGATTTGTTGATGATAGCCATTCTAACGAGTGTGAGGAGAGCATATAATCATGAAGACAGGAGTGAACTGATTTACTTAAAATAAGTACGTAATTAAAATATTACCACCATTACCATCAACCAGAAATTCAAGAAATGCTAAAGGTCTAACTTTACACTTTTGTAGACTAAGTTCAATTCCCTGTGTTTGGACAAATAACACTTCTGTACTCTTGCTTGCTAGTTATACACTGGGAACAACGTTATCATGGCTTGTTTCGTAGCCTTTCATATTTTCAATTTTCTGAATTCAAACCCCCCTCCACTTTTATATCATACACCATAGTCATGGAAGTGACTGCCATGTGACACAACCTGTCATAATCTATTTAAGGATATGATTAGCCCATTATATTAAAAGGTTGCATCTCCACTTACATGTAGGAAATTATACTAAGCATGTACACCACATGATGGAACCTTAGAAGTCATTTGAGAATTCTTCCATAACATAATAGATTTCAGAATTGAAAACCCTTAAATTCAAGTATTTTAAAGAATTAAAGTTCCTTAAAAATTATTAAAGAGTGTAATGGTTGAAGAGTTCTTTCGTTTTCTTTTTTGATTAAAATATGTGTCTTCTTGAAAAAGATCTCTTAAGCTTTTTCCTTGTCTAGTTTTACCTTTTAAAAAAATAGTTAGCTTGGCCTGAATTTAGCAGAAAAAATGAAGTTATCAGCTATGTTAATTACAGTTAACATTTTTAGAAAAATATTTCATTTTTTTTTCCACCTTAGAGTATGCTCAGGTAATCAAAATGTTGGGAAATGGACGCTTAGAAGCATTGTGTTTTGATGGTGTAAAGAGGTTATGTCATATCAGAGGAAAACTGAGAAAAAAGGTAGGTGTGGAGGTTTGTTTTTATATAATTTTTTTTTAAAGAATTGTTCTGTTTTATATAGGCCAATCAACTCATTTTTCTGAGTTTCCAAAGATGATCCTAATAATAGTGTTTTATAAGACAATGCTATAAAATAAGTAGATAATATGTTAATTAGACCAAACAACAGAACAATCTGGACAACCTTCTGGATGAAGCCAGGGCTGAGATGGCAGGTGAGGCTGTGAGGGACAAACCGCATGCATAAATTGCACGTACAGTGTGATTAAAACTTCATAGCCCATTCGCAGAAGTTGGTTTTTGTCCTGGGCAAGTCTATCTTGAAGAAGTGGCATTAGAACATGCAAGGGGCCAGAGTTGCATGTGGCTCACGAGCCACGGTTAGTTGACCACTGCTCTAGTGTAAAATAAGATCTTTGATGGGAACTTTCATAATCTATATATACAAAAACCAAGCCATCAGAACAACTGGTCACTATGACATGTACTGTGGCTGACCAACCAGGGGGTGCAGGACTGGCCAGCCAAACTCCCATGGCCACTTCCCCAAGCAGGCTGGCCGCAGATCCGCCACAATCGGGTGGCCAGCTGAACATGCCTGGATTTCAGGTTCACTCCTTGCCCCCACTTATGGGAGGCAACCAATGGATATGTCTGACACATTGATGTTTTTTTCCCCTCCCTCCCTGCATCCTTCCCTCTGTTCCTCCCTCCCTCTCTCTCTTTTCTTTCTTTTCCTTTTTATTCTCTTTGAAAAGCAATGGGAAAAATAATCCTCAGGTGAAGATTAACACAAAAACAAGTAACATTTTAAAAAGTGGACTTTTAAATAAGCTATGCCATTAAGTGTGTTTATATAAAAGCCAAGCCATATGCACTGTAGCCAGCCAACTGACCTGATCAGAGAGCACCCTCCCTCCCAACCTCCCTGCCCGATTGGCTCTCTCCCTGGTCAATCATCTTTGGCCCTTCCCTCCAACTGGCCCAGCCTAATGCTCCCTTATGAGAGGGACAGACCCCACCCATGCACAAATTAGTGCACTGGGCCTCTAGTAAAGGAATAAAAGCTACAGAATTTTTTTTTAATTAAAGGAGACCAAAGAAACTACCAATTGAAAATAATATACTGCATTTTCTTTGATTAGATTTTAGTTTAGGAAAACAATAGGGAAGTTTTAAGTTGGAATATGGTAGATCTGTTTAGGTCTTTTTATCCTGTATTTATTACACAGGCAAAGAAAATGAATATAATTTTCTCCTAATCTGTGTCTTTCTCCCACACTGTGTGAATAGTACATATTTTTTGTGACAAGAACGGTTTGAGGGCCTGGAGCAGCCAGGCCCAGAGCAGCAGCAGCCAGGCCGGGAGCGGCCAGGCCAATGCTAAGTAATTGATTTGCTACCTGAAAAATTTAAATTTCTAAAAGTTTAAGGTCTCCTGCCAAAAAGAGGTTTTAAAGCTAACACCTTAATTTTAATGGAGAAAGGAGAGGACAAGCCCTTCCCACCCAGAACAGGTAATCCAATTCCAGCCAGCAGCTATCTTTAAACCATGTGTCCATTTACATTTGAATTGCTACACGCCTTTTGATAGCCTAAGGGCAAGTTTACATGTAAACAAGTTTGCTTCTCAGTTCCCAGGGCAGAAAAAACAAGGTTTAAAATTATTAGATTTCAGAATTTATTCTTAAAAGTATAAAAGTTTATTAATTAAAAAAAAAACACACGCACACAAAAAAAGAAAACAAGGAAATTAAAAAAACTGATGAACAATGAAAATAAAATAATAAGCAACTGATGAGTGCAAAAAAAAAGAATGGTTTGACATTATTCTTTATTACTTGTTTTTATTTTAAATATAATGTGCAATGTGTTTTCTTTTATAGGTTTGGATAAATACCTCAGACATTATCTTGGTTGGTCTTCGAGACTATCAGGTAATAATTACATTTACATTGGTTTTGTATAATTGTACTTAATAAATTATTAATATTTAAAATGTATAATCCTATATTAGAATACTAAAATGATAAAATGCAAATTGACCCTAACAGTGGAATGACCAGGAATGACTAATCACTATGATGTGTACTGACCACCAGGGGGAAGACACTCGACACAGAACATTTCCTGCCTCCATAGCAGCACTAAGGATGACAGACTAAGGGTTATTAGTTAGATATTCCCTGAGGGTTACTGTGTTGCTAGAGGGAATGTCTGATTGTCACCTTAGGCTGATCCCCCAGAGATCAGCCTAAGCCGTCAGTAGGATATCCCCCGAGGAGTCCCAGACTGCAAGAGGTCACAGGCCCAGCTAAAGGACCCCCCCTCCCCCAGGTGCACAAATTTTCTTACACCAGGCCTCTAGTATGAACATTTGACCAATTATAGTCAATAATGCCTTCTTATCATTCTGTCATCAAAATTTACTAAGGATAAATTGTGTTTAATACTGATGTTTTCCTAATTCAGAAAAATTTCCACATGGATTAATAGTTTATGTGTTTATAACAAAACACATCTGGATATTCATTATTCAATACTAGATGCTTCATGCAGAAATTCATACACTGGGGGTGGGTGTCCTTTAGCCCAGCCTGTGCCCTCTTGCAGTCTGGGACCCTTTGTTGGACATCCCTGTCACAGTCTGGAACTTCATGTTTGTTATCATTTGCCTGCTCGCTTCTCTTTACACTTGCCTCGTTGCTCCTTAGTACTACCCCGGAGTACTAAGTGAGGTTCCTGCCAGCACCGATGCACTTGCCAGCCATGAACCCAGCTTCTGGCTGAGTGATGCTCCCCCTCTGAGAATGCAACAACCACCAGGGGCTAGCTCCGGCATTGGGTATCTGCCCCCTGGTGGTAAGTGCACATCATAGTGACTGGTTGTTCTACCATCACAGTCATTTAGGCTTTTGTTATCTAGATTAGAGGCCCGGCAGTTGGATAATCCAGGACTCCTGACTCTCAATTCCTTGACTGCCTGCCTGCCTTCCTGATTGCCTCACAATCCGGGACTGCTGACTCTTAACTCCTTGCCTGCCTGCCTTCCTGATTGCTTCTAACCACTTTTACCTGCCTGCCTGAACACTCACTAACCATTCCCCTGCCAGCCTGATTGATGCCTAACTGCTCCCCCACCAGCCTGATGGCCTCCAACTGCTGGGCTGGTAACCCTCAATTGCCCTCCCCTACTGGTCTTGTCACCTCTAACTTCCCTCCTGTGCCCACCTTGTCACCCCAACTGCCCTCCCCTGCAGGCTTGGTCACTCCCCACAGCCCTTCCCTGCAGATTTTATTGCCCCCAACTACCCTCCCCTACCACCCATCTTCTTGTGGTGACCATCTTTAACCACATCAGGGCAGCCATCTTATGCAACAACCCGAGGGTCAATTTCCATATTACCTCTTTATTATATAGGATTGTTTTTATTTTAAATGTGATATGCAATAATCTCTTAGAAGTTTGCAGTAAATACCAAAGTTTATTCTATTTTCATTTCTTTAAAAGCCAGTTGTATTCTAGGTAGTGTATTAAGTATTCCAAGGAGTGATGCCAGTCTGTAAAATATTATTGATGCAGCCTGAAATTTTTACTATTCTATGGTGAAGTTAGAAGATAGATATTTTGTGATGTTTTCATGAAGCAAAATACTTTCCCATAATTTCTTTTTTTGAAATGAGAGTGATAACAATGATGTCTTTTATTAGAAACTAGAGGCCTGGTACAGGAAATTTGTGCATAGAGGGGGGCGAAAAGGGGTTGTAATGTCCCTCAGCCTAGCCTGCATCCTCTTCAATTTGGGACACCTCAAGGGATGTCTGCCTGCCTGTTTAGGATGTCCACTGGGATTGGGCCTAAAGGGGCAGTAGGACATCCCTCTCACAATCTGGGACTGCTGGCTCGCAACTGCTCGCCTGCCTGCCTTCCTGATTGCCCCTAACCTCTTTTGCCTGCTACCAGACCACCCCCTAACCAATCCTCTGCCAGCCTGATGGATGTCTAACTGCTCCCCTGCCAGCCTGTTTGCTTCTAGCTTTCCTACTCTGCAGGCCTGGTCACCCCTAACTGCCCTCACTGCAGGGTTGATCACCCCCAAATATCCTCCTTTGCAGGCCTGGTGCTTCCAAACTGCCCTCCCCTGATGGCCATCTTTTGGTGATCATCTTGTGTTCACATGGGGGAAGGATCTTTGGCCACATGAGATTTTAAAACCAGTAAACCTCCCAAACTTTTTTTTTTTTAATATATTTTACTGATTTTTTACAGAGAGGAAGAGAGAGGGATAGAGAGTTAGAAATATTGATGAGAGAGAATCATCGATCAGCTGCCTCTTGCACACCCCCCACTGGGGATGTGCCCATAACCAAGTTACATGCCCTTGACTGGAATTGAACCTGGGACCTTTCAGTTCACAGGCCAGTGCTGTATCCACTGAGCCAAACCGGTTTTGGCAACCTCCCAACCTTTGTATATGGATTGTGTGCACGTTGGTGCATGCTTTCAATCAAGCTTATAGCTTACAACTATGCTTTACTCTATATTTTATGTTTATGTATATAGATTCTCAAGGCCATTGATACTTAAGCGTTTTGGACTTTTCCAAGTATCTGTTGAGCCATGTTTGCATAATTTTTATCTAGATTTTTCTAGAGCATACAGTCATGAAGACAAGAGTGAATTGATTTATTCAAAATCAGTAGATAACTGAGGTATTTTTAATGCTAGAAAGCTGGTTAAGGAAATGGCATCTGACACAATATACTTCTTATCAAGAATATGACAAGAATAGGTTAGACTTTTTAAGTGTCCTATGGATATCTCATTCCAAACGTTTTCTTTAAAAGTTTCTTAGGTACTTGCTTCAACTGTTGCCACAATGAGAAACGAAGATGGCAGCATAGGTAAGCACGTATACTGCTGCCTCGAACAACAATTTCAAAACTAAAACTAAAATACAGAACAGACATCATCTAGAACCACAGGAAAGCTGAGTGGAAATTCTATAACTAGAAGGAAAGAGAAAAGCTCAAAGGAGAATCAGAGGAGCTGTAAAGGGCTTAGGTACAGAGTCACGTGTGCAGAGAGGTAGGGTGGCTGAATGCCTGGCTGGCTTTCTCTGGCAAGAGGGAGAAGGGAGCTCCCAACTGCACTGTGCCCCAGTTCTGGGTGAAAACCTGTGTACCAAGGCTCATATGGGGAGAGTCTGGACTATCAGGTAGAGATAAAGGCAGAGGACTGACTGCTAAGGTTAACACTGCCTTTCCCTAGGGGAAGGAAGTCAGAAGCCCCCAACTGCACTGAACCCTAATCCAGGCAATTCCTGGGGGACCCATGCTCTTACCAAGGGGATATAACTGTCAGGTGGAAACTTGGGAGCCGAGAAAGGCAGAAGTCTGGAGGCACATGCACAAGTAGAGGGCTAACAGGAAGTCAAGACTGGATGCTCAATCCTGAGACTCTGCCCCATCCAAGCTGAGCACAGAAGCTTGTGCAATTTTGCAAGTCTGGTCCCATAAGGCTGTCCTCAGCACAGTTCTCCCAGCGTTGACACAGCTGCTACTCAGACAATTGGCCTGGAGGTCAACTCTTCCAATGATACCAACAATAATCAAGACTTAACTAAAGTAAGCCGGTACACACAGTTCACAAAGGGTGCACCAAGAGTGTCCACCTCAAGTAACTAGGGAGCTGATATTCTGGGCCATATAGGACACCTAGCACACAAAGCTACCCTACTTACTCAAGGAAGCAGTGAAAATGCAGTGACAAAGAAACAGATAACTTTCTGAAACCAGTTTAGCTCAATGAATAGAGCATTGGTTTGTAGACTGCAGGGTCCCAGGTTCAATTCCGGTCAAGGGCATGTGTCTTGGTTGCAAGCACAACCCCAGTGGGTGGTGTGCAGGAGGCAGCTGGTCAGTGTTTTTCTCATCAATGTTTCAAACTCTCTGTCTCCTTTCTTCTCTGTAAAACATTTTATTGTAAAAAATTAATAAAATATATTTTTAAATAAACATCACAAATGAAAAAAATGGAGGAAAACACATGACTGGATATAGAGTTCAAAACCACGGTTTATAAGGTTTTCTAGAACTTTTTAGAAAAGGCCAATAAATTTAGCTAGAACCGCGAGCATATGAAAAAGTACTATCTAAAAAATTAAGCATTCACTGACTAAAATAAAAAATATTATACTGAGCCGGGACCGGTTTAGCTCAATGAATAGAGCATCGGCTTGGAGACTGAAGGGACCCGGGTTCGATTCCGGTCAAGGGCATGTACCTTGGTTGCGGGCATATCACCGGTAGGGGGTGTGCAAGAGGCAGCTGGTCGATGACTCTCTCTCATCGATGTTTCTAACTCTATCTCTCTCCCTTCTTCTCTGTACAAAAATCAATAAAATATATTTTTTTTAAAAAAATTATACTGAGACCCAACAGCAAACTAGAGAATAGCAAGAATCAAGTCAAAGATTTGAAATACAAAGAGGCAAAAAACACCCAAATGGGAAAGAAAAAAAGAAGAAAAATCCAAAACTTTGATAGTGTAAGAAGCTTCTGAAACAACTTCAAGTGTACCAACAACAGAATTATGAGGGTGCCAGAAGAAGAGAGAGAGCAAGATACCGAATACCTATTTGAAAAAATGAAAAATTTTTTCACCCCTATTTTTGTGTGAAAAAATAGACGTAAAAGTTTAGGAAGCACAGAGAACCCCAAACAAAAGGAATCCAAAGAGGGCCACACTAAGGCACATGATAATTAAAATGCCAAGAGCAAAAGACAATATTAAAAGCTGCAAAAGAAAAAATTACCTACCAGGGAGTACCCATAGATTGTCAGTTGATTTCTTAAACTATGCAGGCCAGAAGGGAGTGATAACAAATATTCAAAGTGATGAATAGCAAGAACCTACAAAAAGGTTACCCAGAAG